TGGAAACCTTTATGCCAATAATATTCTGCCAGAAGTTTTTTCAAATTTTATAAGAATAACTGGCAGAAAAACTGTTCGAAATGTCTTGCTTCATCATGACAATGCTGCGCCACATACATCAAAAATTGTCATCAGTTACTTGGAACAAGAAAAAGTCAATATTCTTCCCCATCCACCTTACAGTCCTGACCTGGCACCTTGCGATTTTTTTCTATTTCCTAAAATCAAAAAGGAACTCAAAAATAAGAAGTTTGAAAGTGTTGAAAATCTTGCACATGCTGTTCAGGCAATTACTCTTGGTATTGAAAAAGAGGAGTACCACAAAGCTTTTGAGGATTGGCGGAAAAGGCTACAACTTTGCATAGATAAAGATGGTCACTACTTTGAAGGAATGAAATAAAATTTTTTAAAAGTTGTAATAAAGTTTTTGAAATAAAGCTATTTTCTCATTACTTTTCAGCCACCCCACGTATTTCTGCCAGAACTTCAGATGATAAGGTCAAAATTCCTGCCACCCCTTTGCTGCTGATTAAACAAATAGAGTGTCGACAAGTGGTAATAACCGCCATCATTCTTATGATAAACACTTATTTGCATCTATCTCTTGGTCCTTTTTCGTTTTTTCTTTTTCTTGTGGTAGATTTTGAAAAAGAAAATTTTGTTTGATCGACATTAATCACATTAATTATTATTGGCAATCAAGATTTATTAATAATCAGGAAAAACAATTTATTTGTGAATCCCAGAGATGTATATAGTTATCCACAAAAAATATCCGCAATCACCAAATCGATTTCTAAATAAGGATAACACGCACCCAACCCACCAATAAAAATTGGATATTCTGAGGTTTCACGAAATTTGTGGATATTTTTTGTGGATAACTACACGATTATAGAGATCTGGGTAGACACACATTGTTAAAAATTTCATTTATTCATGGCCTTGGTATCATAACTACCTGGGTGGTGCAATTGTTTGTTATGTCAATGATGATATCAAATGTATTGCATAATAATCATGGCCATCATGAATATATGATGAATGGAGGTATTCACATACAAGGAAATGATTAAATAGCTAAGTAATGTTCGTTTTATTAAAGATATATAATTAATTATACTTAAAATATACAATAAAAAAATTGCATGACTGCACCACTATGTCAATCAAGTTATCAAGCTGTTATGTTTGTGCAAGATTTAAAATTCTTTTGTGCTAATTTAGGTCCCATCTTTTTTTACTTATATATGTATAATCTATTGGTTCTCTTTTTACTGGTCGAATGATGCCAAATTGGTAATGGGTATCAGACAGATTCTGATATCTGACCGATATTCTTTAAAAAAAAATATTCAAGGTATTGGCATACTGATAAGTTAATAATATTCCTAGTATTTTTATCATATAGTCTAAAAGCCTATTAGTAAACATTGAAAGCGTGTATATATATCAGATATTCTTCTAAAATTAATCTTATTTTTTAGTTAATTATTGGCTTAATTTAATAAACCAATGGCTCTTTTATTGAATTGAGTTATTGGTTAAAGATTTCTAAAGTTGCCTGTACTAAAATGATATCACAATCTTTAGTAGTAATTAGGGTTTCTATTTGAATAAGGTTTATTCGAATAAAACGAATAATTTGAGTAAAAAAATAAGTCGAATAAATCGAATAAATCGAATAAAACAAGTAATAATAATAATAATAATAATAATAATAATAATAATAATAATAGATAATAATAATAATAATAATAATAATAATAATAATAATAATAATAATAATAATAATAATAATTCGAATAAAAGCGAATAAAAGCGAAACTGTATTACGAATAGAAGCCATGCATTAATATTAGTTAATAAATAAATCGCTTTTATTATTATTGCAAAATAAATTAATTTTGTTCCGGTGCTAATAAACAACTTTGTTTCTAAAGAATTTATTCAAAATAATATTATAAATGTATAAAGTTAATGATTTTTAACGATGCAAAATTCTTTTTTGATACATCAATCTCAGTTCAAAATCAATCATATTTATATATTTTAAAATTTCTTTTTTGATTAAAAAAAAAAAATTCAAACATTTGTTTATTTTTTTTTTTTAATACATTTCAAATTAAATTTTATTATATCAAATGATATATTCAGCAAAAAATCTCAGAAGACTACCTATTGATAATAGTGATCCAAATATTATTTCCGATCAACTAGTTGATATATGAAGGTGAATATGAATATATTTACTGCAAGAGATTTCTTTGTATAAAATTTCTTAAAAATTTACTGTCTTGCGCAAAAAGAAACAGTGTTGAAATGTTCATATTATTTAAGCAAGTTCTTTTAAGTAAATCTTTGGCTTCTTTCTCCCGACGAATATTGTAATGTAAACCCTTTCGAGAATGTTAATAAGTCAGTCCTTGGACTCATAATTTGAATCTGAAGAGTTAGTTGGTCTCGTAACTTTTTGAATTCAAGGATTTCAAGGATTTCAAATTATCATCCTCCTCCAAACCAGCAAGAAAGTTTCGGTGAACTGATTTATAGCTCATTTCTGCTGGATCTATTTGTTTTATCGATATATTAACTTCCAGTTCCACAACTATCAAATAAAATAATTATTATCAAAATAAAAAGAGTTTATATTAAATCATCAAGTAAATAGTTTTCGACTACATGTAAAGGTCCTTATTAATTAACGCATTTTTACATCCTCTTCAATTGGCCGGCGATTAATCACCCTTGTAAAAAAACTTTAAATATTAATAAAAGAAAAATTAAAAACGAAAATTCTACTATTAACTCCGCTAGCGGTCTCAATAGAGATATAAACAATCTATCGAATGGTTCCGAGGTATAGAATATGCAATTGTATCAGGTGGTTTCCTGTTGGATTATTACAATGGGTAATAATCGTTTGCTTTATCTACGTTCGAATGTCAGATGTTAAATCTTAATATATTTTAGGGCCTATTTTAGTAGGTAATGGTGAAAGGTTGATTTCGTGGTGAACTTTACCAGTTTACTACGTGGCTGTCAATTTTTTTTTTGTATCTTCATTGTTTTAAAATATGATCAATTAGTTTTCTCGGTCCTGGTGTAACCTTTCGGCACTTTTTCTAAGACAGTTTTAGTTTAGTATTATCATCTAGACTGCGAGTGGATTTCCCAAACTAATAAAAATCAGTCATTAATTTTTCTTTTTGCAAAAAAAAAAAAATTTAGTAATGAATAATTGGAAACTTTCAAAATTTTTTAATAAAGAAAACGAACCAGAAAAAAATCCACAACAATTTATCTTGGTGATTTTGAATCAACCATTATTAATTGATGGTTTATTTAAAAGATTGTGGGGAAATGGTAAAGATGTAAATATTGTTTGAATTAAATCAAGAATTTAAGAAATTTTTAAATTATTATTATTTATTTTGGGAAAAAAAGCAAAATATGTTTTATGTGCAGATGGTGGAGCAAATAGATTATATGATAAATTCAAAGGAACTGATTTACATGGAAAGTTAGTAATAATTATCATTATCATCATTATCATCATCATCATTAGAAGGATAAATTATTTCAATTATTTTAGATTTATTCCAAAAATTATTAGAGGAGATTTGGATTCTTTAAGAGATGATGTTCGTGATTTTTTTGATAAAAATGTAAGCAAGCAAGCTACAGAAACAAAAATCATAAAATCAATATTGTTATTATTGACGAATATTTATTAATGTAGGGTGTATTGATTGAAGAAGATAAGGACCAAAATTCTACAGATTTTAAGAAATGTATTGATAGAATTGAATTAATTGAAAATGAGAATAATGAAAAGGTAAAAAAAATTAGACAAATACACGTAGAAAATAAAAATGATAAGGTTCATGCAGATGTATATTTTAGTATGAAATAGTGGCTTTGGGCGCAACAGGCGGCAGATTTGATCAAGCAATGTCACATATTAATTATTTACATCAATTGAAAAATCAACATCAAATATATTTATTATCAAATGAAAATATAATTTTTTTACTAGATAAGGTAAAAAAATATTTATATCTAAATACTATACAATGAATATTATTATTCTTATTAACAATTTTTTTTTTATTATTTAGGGAAAGCATCAATTATTTTGTGATAAAAATATTGAAGGTCCAACTTGTGGATTACTTCCAATTGGTGTAGAGGCTGCTGTCATTACCACAACAGGCCTAAAATGGAATCTTGGTAGGCAATAAAATAAATATTATAAATAATAAATATAACATTATAATAAATATAACTCTTAAATCTTATAAAGAAAATACTTCCACTTCTTTTGGAAAATTGGTAAGTACTTCAAATCACTTGGAAGACGATATTATAACGATCGAAACTGATTCACCAATCGTATGGACTGTAGAACTTAATCATCAAAGTTTTTAATATAATAACAAATGTCATTCTTCTCTATAAATAAAACTACCGTATTCTCTCTAATATAAGCACCACCATTTTTAAATGTGTTGGATAGGTGGTAATGGGTGCTTATACTTGAGAGTTTTCGTATCACATATTGATTTCCTTATCATTATTTTTATCCCAAGATCAGCTGGGCGTCATTTTACTATTGATCATTCAATGATTTCTCATTGGCAAAAACAAAGGAAGGAAAAATTAGGAGAGGAAGTTCTGAGAAGAATAAAAAAATTATTAAAAATAACAACAACAATAATAATAATAATAATAATAATAATGCTTAAAATATACGATTTCATTTTATTTTAGACTGTGCACAATTTTACATAAAAAAAAATTTTTTTTAATGGCTAAAAAAAGAAAGCATAATTTTATAAAAAAACGTAAATCTATAAAAAAATCAAATCCAAAAACAAATTATAAAGAAAAAGAAAAAGAAAAGGCAATTCTTGAACCAATGTAATAAATTAATATTTGTAGAATTATCCAATGAATTAATAATTTATACAGCTTCTATTATATAATCAGATATGATGAACCACCAACATTTGATGATAAACCAGACATTCCACGTCGTTTTTCTCGACTTTTAAAAATAAAGGAGCACAGAATTAAAAAAGTCAGAGATAATGTTAAAACAAAGGTAAGGTATTTAATTATAAATATATCGTATGAATGTGTTCGTTAATGTTTAAAAATGAGTTTGAGAGTGATTGTCGATGAAATTTTATTTTATTATTTTATTATTTTAGATTAATTCCTCTACCACCACCACTGTTAAAAATAATAAAGGTACTGGCATTGAAAGATTACCAGGGGAACCTTTTTCAAAATTTAGTCGTCGTTTAGAAGATCACATGAGGCCAGAAATTCTTAAAGCGTTCCAAGAAGGTTCATCTAAGCAAATCAAAGCTAAAAGGTATTAACTACTATTACTATTACGATTACTAGTTATTATCATTCTTAACACATGTGTGTTTTTATAAGTAATAATAAATTTATGACTTCCTTTATAGGTATAGAGAACGATTAAAAGAAAAGAAAAAAGAAAAGTTAAATATTAACAATCAAAATGCAATAAAAGATTTTAAAGATTTAAAAGATGATATTAAATTTGGAGAAATAGTTGATAAACCTCCTGTTATAACTGTTATACCTAAAAACAAGGTATCCAATTGCCTTTATTCTATTGAATAATTGACTGCTATCATAATAATAATATTAAGAAAACTTTTACTTTATGCAAATATAGTTACGAATAATATCATCACCCAAAGTTGAAAAAGATAATTATGGTGATGATGACGATGATGATGATGATGATGATGATGACGGTTATTATTATCAAAAAAAGAAGAAACATAGTAATAAGTCTCAATTAAGCTTAGCGGATAAACGTATTGTTGAAAAAGAACGTAAAAGAATTATTGAACTTTATCGATCAAAGAAATCAAATAAATTGAATAAATTAGATTAAACTAATAATTCTATCTCTTATTGGTTTCTATTTCAATATTTTATTAATATTTGCATTTGTTGTTATTATTAAAATCATTATCATTAATCACGGTCAGCCAAAGGATTTGCATGAATCGTGATTGATTTAATTCGAATTTCTTGAGTCGGTCGATGTTTTTCATCAACTGGAACATTTTCTATAGCATCTAATGTTGTATCCACACCGTCAATCACTCTTAATTAGTTATTATTTCACACCAAGACAAATTTATTTATCAATAAACACCTATATAATATTTTATTACATAATAGACGTTTTATATGTTTAATACTTACTTGCCAAACACTGTATATTTTGTATCAAGATGTGGTAATTTAGTATATGTTATAAAGAATTGTGATCCATTTGTATCAGGTCCACTGTTAGCCATAGAAACAATACCTCTAGTGTTATGCTGATTAATTTATTTCGATTTAAATAATTATATACACGTAATATATTGCGTATATATTCACTCGCACACTCACATATAATATTTACACGCTCAAACACACCTTTAGTGAAGATTTAATTTCATCAGGAAATTTTTTCTCCCATATTGATGTTCCCCCTTTTCCTGTTCCTGTAGGATCTCCTGTCTTTAAATATATTTGTTATTTATTAAATTTATTAAGTAATTAATTTAATTTAAAAAATAATATATATATATATATATATATTACCTGTACCATAAACCCTTTAATATTTCTAAATAATAAAAAAATTAATTAATCTTTCTTACTCTCTATTTAAATAATCAAAGATTAAGCTAATTTAAGTTACCTGTGAAATAAATTATTATCGTAATATCCGCTTGCACATAATTTCATAAAATTCTAATAATAAAAAATATAAATATATACAAAAGTTTTTTAAAAAACTACATGCTTATAAAATACAAACTTCGGCAGCTCTTGGTACAGCTTCACAAAATACTTCAATCTTGAGATCACCAAGATCTGTATGAAGAGTTACTGACTAAAAACGATTTTTTTTGGCAAGCATTTTTAATAAGTAAATAAATAAATAAAACGAATTAATCAATTAATTAATCAATCAATAAGTTGTATTTAGAAAGAAAAAAAAAATCAAAAAAGATATTTCAACCATTTAAATTTTAATTTTAAAAAAAAGTCAATTGTTTCTAATTTAAGCTTTTTGAATTAAATTGTATTGTAAAAAAAAAAAATTTATTATTTTGGGGGTTTAATTTATTCCTCGCATATTTATACTTTTTTTTTCACATAATGACTACAATATATGTGATATGCAGTGTAACTCATGTGACCCTAAATATTAATACCTTCTCTTTTTTTCCAAAAAAAATTTTTTCTTTTTAAAAAAAAAATAACAAATAAAAATTTTTATATTAATTTCCTGTAGTCATGGAAAGTAAAAATAATAATAATAATTTATCAGATTTTTATTTTATAAAACCTTCAGGTATTAAATAATATATATATTTATTTGTATAGGGATATGTATTATTATTGTTGTTGTAAGCTATTTTATAATAAATGAGGATCCGTGTTTTCTTTTAGGACAAGATTTTAAAACTTCAATAGATTCAAATAACATATATTCGCAACAACCTCAACAACTAACGTTACGAAAAAATATACCAAATCGTGGTATATCAAATAATTTTGACCTCACAAAGACTTATGAAAAGTTCGTACAACCATACAAAGAAAAAGATCCAGACAGTACTTTGTTTCCTTACATCAAAAATTTACCTGGTATGAAAACAAATATACATGTTAATTTTATTATGTTAGGTTTAGAATATTTGAGCAATATATGTATTTAAACAATATGTATTTATGTAATATATAAATACATAGCAAAAATAATTTACTCGTCGTTCATGTTTTCAATTTAACATTTATTTCTCATATTGTCATATTCGATATATTATTAATAGGCAAATTATTGGTAAATAATGATAAAACACTTAGAAAAGTTATTAATAAACCAACAAGTAAATGGGAAGATAAATTTCAAATAGACGGTGCAACAATCGAAAAAAAGCTTAAATCATTATATATACGAGGCCCTATACAAGGGGTATTTTTATTAAATTAATAGTAAATGAATAAACCATTATATATATATATATATTAATATATATATGTAATACAGTTTAATCCATCGGAAATTGGTTTAGAGGATAATAATATTAACAAAACATCAACGACTTCATCAACTACTATTAATCATCATTTATACATTCAAGGAAACTGTTTTGATCAACGTATGAATTAATTATAAAAACTATTTTAAAATTATTATTATTATTAGCGTTGGAGAAGGAAAAAAGTATCTCAATTTTTTTTAAAAAAATTTTCCCAGAACAAATTGCGTCAAATAATGAAGGAGAAGATAAACTTTATGAAAAGAAAAAGGTTTATATACTGATAATATCAATAATCAAATAAATTTAATATCATTAATGTATATATATTATTTTTACTATATATTAGAAAAAGAAGCATAAGCATGATGAGCATGATGGTAAACGAAGACACAGACATGATAAAGATGGAGGAGAATACAAGAAAAAGAAACGGAAGAAAGTTTGTATTTTTTTATTTTGATGTTTTTTGATGTCTTATTTTAACATGCAAAAAAATTTTTGAATGAGTTTTTATCGGATTCTTTTGCACGCTCTTTTTTCATATATTATTATTATATATTTGATAATTAACCTAAAATACCACACACACACACACACTAAAATTATAATTCAGGATAGAGAATTAACTGCTATATGAGCTCCTTATCAAAATAAATAGCGTATATACGAGGTTCTTATATTAAACTTCATACATGTATATTTACACTCACATATACATATTATTATTGAAACTTATATATTTGTGTATATATATATACATACAGAGTTATGATAATTGGTAAAGATGGTGATGATAATGATAATGGTGAAGGAAAAGATGATAATATTTCGTAAAAACAACCGAAAAAAAAACAAATTTAAACAAAAAAAAAATTTTTTTTCCTCTTTTATTTCTTAACAGAAATATATCTTATCTATAACATATATTTTTTATCAATTATAAATCCAAAAAAAAAAAAAATTTTTTTATCAACATATTTATATATATTAAATATAAATATAAATATAAATATATATATGGACACTAATGATTATAACAGAAAGTGAAAAAATCCAAAAAAAAAGATAAAAAGAATAAATGTATTGGGTTGGGCAAAAATATTTTAATTTATATATCTTTTTTGCAATCAATCCTAATTATTATTAATTTTTTTTTTCTAATTGTAAATATGTTTTATTATTATTATTTTATCATTTACTAATAATATTTTTAGATTTATTTTTTTATTACAGGTTGACTTTTTTAGAACAATGGTATGATTTTTTTTTTAATAAAAAAAAAATTATTATAAAATGTTAGCAATATATACATCTGCAACTAAATCAAAACTAATTTGTAATAAAAATAAAAAATTAATATTAAATATAATTAATTTTATTGCAAAACACATTTATTTTTTCCATCTAAAAATTCTATTTGTTGTAGATTTTGTGCCACGTAATAATCATGCTCTGTTATTTTATCCTCATCTACTTCATCAGGATTCAGAATCTGAAGTTCATAAAATAATAAATACCCATTTTTACTAAATTCATTAAATAAAAATGTAATATCTTGGAGAGAATTGAATTTGGTAACTCGTTGGTCAACGTTCAAATCATCTAATCTATACCATCCTTCCTCCTAATGGTAACAACAACAATAATAAAGAATAATAATATTTATTATTGTTGTAATTTATTACTATTTTTCTACTCTTTAATCAATTAATCAATTAGTCAACTCACAAATATGTACATACATCATCTAGAGTAAATCCTTTGTAGTGACCAGAATAAAGTGATTCACCATAATGACAAACCACAGATCTCAACTTTAATTTATAATGTATATTATCTATTCCATACTTATAAGGTTGTTCGTCAGCTGCATCGGAATTGACAAACAAATTGAAATTGGCGAAAGGTGGAATGTAAACATTTTTCTTTATTCGAAAAGGCCTTAGACTTTCATTAAATCCATATCGTTTTAATACGAGTGGTAATAATAGATTTGTGGTAGGAAAATATGATTGATCAACCTTTATTCTTTCATCTAAAAATAATTATATAATTATTTTATTATAATTTGTTTTATTTCCCACTCCTCCCTCCCTTAAGAAAAGGATTACCTTGTTCATTACTAGCAGAATAAAAAGGCAAAAGTTTTAAAACTTGCCAAGCGGTAACAGGAATTTCTGATTGTTCGATACTTAATTGTATTTTTCCTTTTGTTTTTTCATCCCCTGCTAAATCGACATTTTCCTCAGGTAAAAGCTTTCGTTTAATACCAGATATAGAATTATCATAAAAGTGTGCTTTCAATGCTTCCTCGAGTGTTACCGGTGTCTCATCTTTTGGTTCACCTGGTATAGCAATCTGAATCATACGTTCTGTTACAACTCTTTCGTCCATTGGATCTCTTTTTGCCCCATGAATCAAGTGCATCTCCAATGGAAGATACGGTAGTTCGTAAAGATATGATAGAAATAAAAACAATTCGCTGGAATCTTCTTGTGTTGGTCTTCCATAATCATCTAATCCAACCCATCCACAATTAATAAGCTTTTCTCTTAATTGCTAATAATTATAATTATAATAATTATAATGATAATAAATAATTGAAAATAATATCACTCATTACCAATCATTCTGATATTACTACTAACCTTGACCATGTATTCATTGATAAGTTCACCAGTACGAAGCCTATTTACAAACAATCTCAAATGAGTTTGTAATATTTTAGCATTGGTTTCTCCTGCTTGCATATAAAGCAATCCATCAAATGATTGTATTCTGGCAAACATGGCAAATAAAAGACTATCTAATCAGAATATATATACACACACACACACACACATTTATTCGTTACTACTCGCAATTTAATAAAATTGAAAAAAAAATATTTATTACCTATATAACAACTAGTCGAACGATCATTTTCCGAGCCAGTCATTATAACACCCTTTTTAACATCAGCTATTAAACCTTCTTCTGCATCCGCCAAGCTTTTATAGTAATTTGCTACCTCGGAAACATCCCAGTTGTTAGCTTTCAATAATTTTTGAAGTTGTTCATTTTCCAACGGTGACCCGATCCCCTCCAAAAATGTTTTCAACTGATCGATTTTATTCTCTTGTTCGGAGGTTAGTTGATTAGCAACTTGTGATTTTCGTTTAGATGAAGAATTATTAAAAAAGCTTAAATGTAAACCATTTTTTATTTTTTGAACTGGTGAACGAGATCGAGATCTGGATTGGTTTTGTTCTTCTGGTGTTGTTACTGGTAATATTGATAATAGTGGTGAGGTTGTTATTCCTGTTGCTGTTGCTGTTGCTGTTGATGTTGCTGTTGATGATGGTGGCGGTGATAATGGTGTATTTTGGATATTGATTTTATCTGATGACTCCTCCATTGATTGATTTCATTTACTAATAAATAATTTGCCTTATACCAAATATATTTTAATTGATTCTATTTAGTGCAAATAAAAAAGCAGTGTCACAATTTCTCAATTTGAACGTGTTTGTATTATTAGTATAGTAAATGGCCGAAAAAATTTTTTTAGATGCTAATTCTTATTTTCTCTATAGTTTTGATATATCTATCATTCTTGCCAAAAAAATGGATCTGCTTGACATCGTAAAGTTGGATTTTTCTTCACAAATATTATTTAAATATCGCCGTGGTTTAGATATACGATTCACTCTTTCTATAATAATAACGAACTTTCCGTCCCTATGTGTAATTTTTCTACCTTTGTTAGTTATAGAGGGAGAAATTAACATTAATTATAAAAAAATGAATCGGAAACAAAAGTGAAGTTCGTTAAAAGAGATTTCACCTAATGTTTGTTATAGAGAATGCGAATTTACACAAAAAAAAAAAATACACATACGAGAATTTACTCACAAGTTGACAATGAACGCTGTCACGTATACAGTTATCTCTGATTTTAAATATGCAAAACAAAGTTGTTAGAGGGCTCTTTACCTGACGACAACTAGTGTACCAGACCCTGTTTGCTTAATATTAATAAAAAAAATTGTATGTCGGATACCTTCTTTAAATTGCGCATAGAATAAATTGAATATATTTTGACCCCTTCATTGTACAATATCAAGTTATGTTTGAGATTTTTGAAAAAAAAACAATTGATTTTTTAATCATGACCAGAGAGAAAGGATTATTTTCCATTCTACACTTTTTTTTATACAATAGCATAAATATCATATAAAAATCAGAATGTGGAGTATAATTATACATCATTATTAATGTTAAATGGCGCTCGATATAGTGAACTACTATTGCTCGATATAATGATTTCTAATATAAACACTCTATAATGAAGTTTTACTAAACAAAAATGCATTAGAATCGCGATGAATCAATCACTAAAGTTTGACGATGAATTTTTATCAATGTTAAAGTATAATGCAATTTTTATTCAAGTGTGAAAAAGGGGCTGCGTCATGATGAAAGTAATAGATAATTATATATTCTACAGGGAAAATTTTTTAACCTCACTCCCATTAATGTTATAACCAAAAGAGAGTACAGAAGAATTGTTTGTTACACGCTATTCAGTTCCCCGCAAAGCAAAGGAAATAATGTAACTGTTATACTCTCCACTCTATCCATTAAAACACAAAGTCGAGTTTTATTTTTTTATTTTATATAATGTTATTCCATAAATTAATATCATTTTTATCACCAGAAAGAATGGAATTTGTATCTAAAATTGATAATGATGAAGAAAGTAGAGGATATTATTTTTTTTATTAGTCCGACAAAACAAGGAGCAGAAAAATGGTATTGTGAAGAATGGTTTATTTATGAGTTTGAATTAAGAAATGCAAGAGATGAATCGGGTAAACCAAATAAAAATGTAACAAGTGTAAATCAACAAGATACTCTCTGATAGATTCTGTGAAGGTTGTATTAGTTTACAACTACGGATGCTTTTCACCACTTGGACATCTGGAAATAACGTAATTGATAACTTTATTCAACAATGCCAAATGAAATCATCTTTGCCAAACAATATTTTAGAATGGATACCTTTTGAGAAATTTGAAAAAGTAACAAAGTCGACAGAAGGTGGCTTTAGTTTGATTTATACTGCAGATGAACAGGAGGAAATATTATTGATTTATGATGAAAATAAAAAGGAATTTAATTATTTTGGAGTGCAAAAAGTAGTATTAAAAAGTTTAAATAATTCAAGTAATCTAGGGAAAAACATTCTTTGATGAAGTTGGTAATTGTCATTTAAAACAAAACTAAATGCTGTATTATATAGTACTAATTGATTTTATATGGGGCGTACTGTAACAAAACCAGACAAAGTGAACATTAATATTAATGTTACCAAGAATTTCAGGGTTCAAAATTTAGTAATGTGATTATTAAAATCTTCCATTTGTTATCCTCTTAATATTAGGTGAATTACCCCTAAAAATAATTAATATGAAGTTAATTTACATTAGGTCTACTATGGAACCCAAAATTACAGCACTATTAGAAGTATTTTGAAGAAAGAACAAGGTGAAAAAATTGCACCTTATGTTTTCAAAATAAATGATACTCAAACACTTGAAGCTTATCTAAGAAAAGAAAAGATTATCTATGAAATTTACCAAGAAGAAAGAGTTTTCAAAAGATTATTAGAGAATTCTAGTAAAGAATCAAGAAAAAAAAGAAAACTGGCAGAATAACTTGATAAACCAAATAATCACTTTATTTTCAACTTTGTTAATTTTTTAATTACCTTTTATTTTCAGATCATCTTTTAGTCTCTTTAACTTCAATTTGGGCAACTAATTGACCATTTTGCTGTTGTAATTGGGTTAATTGAAAATTTAAATCATTGATTTCTTTTATTAATTATTGGGGAGTTAACTCTTTTAGTTGCTTATTTTTCTCTTCTAAATGCTTAATTCTATTTAATAACTCTTGTTTTTATATGTTGTGATGAGCAGGGTTCCTGATTGCCTGAAGGTGAATAAAGATGTTGTGACTGAATACAGAAGATTAAATCTTTTACACCAAAACAGTCCAAAAAATATTTATTAATTAATATTATTAGAATTAATTGATGTATCACATCTCACTTTACATTTAATTTTGTTAATTATGACAAAAACATTTCATCAGGTATCATTTAATCATGACATCATCAATGATACATTTTTGACATTTAACTTTAGTAATTGTCAATTAGTCATCATTTATCATTCTATGGTTGGCTCGGTCTAAAGACCTCCTATTGCTGCGCCATATGGCCAAATTTCAAAATAGCAATTTGTAATTCGTTCAAAAATGTAATAAAATTTTTCAAAAAATAGGACTTCACGTGATTTTAGTTTTCTTACTGCCAAATTTAGATACGATAGTCAATATCTAGTCTAAATTTGGTAATATTTTTCCTAAATTTAGAAATGATCATAGTGGACAAATTCCTCGCGAGCATAGTAAAGTACATGTTTTAAAAAAGAATAGAACTCTACAACAAATAATTTTTTTGAGAAAATCTCTCTATTACATTAAAACTAAAGACATATTCTATCAACTAATAGAGCTATTTTTTTAAAAGGTAGGACAGAAAGTGACTTCTATACTTTTAAAATTTGCCCAAAATTTAGGAGGTCTTTAGACCAAGCCAACTATAGCATTACTATTTTTGTAAGCATGGTGGACATTTGAATTTGTCACATGTGATAAAATCAATTGACGATCTTTTTTATATTGTGTGACCGTTCTAATTCAATAGAAAACACCTGGTCATAATAACATGATCAAAAATAATGGTAAAACCCAAAAAATATCTTGCAATAATATACCTTTCATTGGAACCTTTATTTTGGTTAAAAATAATCCCGTTAATCCCGCAAACTACAAGATCTTGTTATGAACCAAAGATTTCAAGATGCGCAAAAATTTTATTTTTTTTTATTTTGAATCGGCTATTGATAGCTGATAAAATTTTTCTGATATAAAAAATCTTTTCTGTGAGCATCATGAAAATGATCTTTGAGATTCAGCCGATCATCTATAAATAAACATCCAGGTTGTTGTCCCTGTGGTTGTTGTAAAATCTTCTTTAAAAGTGACTGTTTTTACTTTGCTGTTCGTTAAATTGACCAATAAGAATGATCAAAACTTTAATTTGTGTTACCATTAAAGAATACTCTTTAAGAGATAATATTTTTAATTATTGATTCAAATGCCTTTGTTTGTTATAGAGAGTGTTTACTAAGATGTTCATTATAAAGAAAAATTAATTATAAAAAAATGAAAATGAAACCTCAGTGCTGCAAATGTTCTTGTTTGACATTCACTTCTATACACATTAATAGCCCATAGTACACACCCTACAAAAAGTATCGACTTACTTGATGATCCGCTAAAATAATCGAATAAGCGGGTAATACAAATACTCATTTTTTTACTATTACTAAGCAAATCGGTGTTGTGTATTAGAGAGAAAATGTTTGTTGAAATGATTACCATAACATTTTAAAATATCACATTTATTGTTATTGATAATTTTATAATGTTTAAAAAGTCAAATTAAAATTTTTCGAAAATTTTTCGAAAAAGTAGCACTTAGAGCTATTTTAAGATACAATGTTTTAACACATCTTGGAAACTTAGAAAATGTTGTTCCGTTTGTTCTCAAATGTATATATATACACGTTCATAATTATTGATCGAATATTCATGGAGCATTAATACAAAACGTAAAAAAAAATCGGAAAATAAACTTTAAAGGGCAATTGCGGCTGAAATATCTAACCAAAATTAGATTTTTTTAAAAAAAAAGATTGATTTCAATTAAAACATCATGTCTCAATCAACAGACTTTGAATAATTGGACGTTGGGAAGCAGATGAAAGCGTTTGAAACGTTGCTGGTGCACTCAAACTACTATTACTCCCCCAAAAAATACCAATGAATTAATTTCTTATTTAATAGATGAATGGGTAAATCTTGATTGTGATTATTTGCAAAAATTAGTGGACAGCATTCCTCGAAGGGTCCAAGCTGTAATTGAATCAAAAGAAAACCTGACAAAATATTGAATAAATGAATGAAATATTTATACTTTTTTGATACTTTTGATATAAATTTAATTATGTAAAAATATTATACAAACTGTATATTTCAGCTATTATAATAATAATCTGTTGTTTATTGTAACCTTCTAAACTTTCTTTAAAAAGGTCTCAATAATCACTTTTATTAAAATGATTTATTTTAAATGCTTACACATTAATATATTTTCCAAGAAATGAATAATAAGCTTAGGGGGATGTTGGAATCTACCAATTTAATAAATTAAAAACAAAATCTTAGTGGAGTTGACATAATCAATATCATAATATTATTAATGAAATGGAGTATCATTGTGAAAATCACTAACAATAACATTTACTGACAGCTATGCAACTGGCTCTCTTCGGTATTCGGAAGTTGTTTCCAGAAAATGATCCCAATCTAGAAAAATTAGAAACATATGGAATTCTTGTTTACAGTGAGTAATATGATTTATTAAATATTATGTTTGTAGTGGCTTGCTGATTTTATACATTTATTTACATAGAGAGAGATGTTTTTCTTTATGCATGCATTGGACTGGTGGAGTTTATCTTGTTGACCAGTTTGATGGGTTTGTGGTTCCTAATACACCTATACAATTAAAGAATTTGTCCCATATTATACGAAGAATGATTATATTTAAGGTAACAAATCTTATTAATGTTGTTGTTAATTGCTGTTATAGTATTGCTTGTGATAATTTGTAACTGACATACTCTTTACTTATATATTTGGCCAGAGCTGTGTTGTAAATTTACAACAGCACATAGAGTCTTCATTGAAATTAAAAAAAAATTTTTAAACATGGTGGCACTCAGCATGCAGATGATTATATTGTTGATGCATCTCCACAGAAAAAAATTCGAGTTTCTTCGATAGATATAATGTCTCAAGAGTATTGTTAAGTGAACTGTTGATTCATACTTTAAAAAAAAGGAATAAGTTGCATCCTGTTGTGATTTTTCAATAAAATTTTTTTTTAGTAGCTAATCCGAGGACAATTTTTACATATAAAGCAAGATTAAAATTTCTGAGCATATGTATTAATTAATTAATTCACATAATGTTTTTCAATTTGTAATCATGTATTTTTGGCTTGTAATCAATAAAATTTATTTAGACTGATTTATTTCGCAAATAAAAGACAAAATAAAAATATGCTAATTCACAATTTTCTACAAAAATTAATAATTTTCATATTTTCAACAACAATCAAATAAATTGTTCATTCAAACAATGAGTTTAAAATATTTAAAATTTAAAATGCTTTAAAAATAATACAAAAATTAATATTTTATAGTTTAAATAGTGTCATCATCACTGTCATTATATCTTGAACTTCAACTTCATCCTCTTGGTTCTCAAACACAAAATCTTCATTGTCTTGAAAATAGCACATTGGTGCTTTACCCTTGTTATTATTAACTTGCTTTATTGCATTTGCCAACATCTCTGGTCTTGACATGTTTTCTTGATTGTCACTACCTCCTTGTTGCTTGGCTTTCATGATCTCTTACTTGATGATGGTAAGTTTGGTGATGTTGCTAATGCGTTTATCGATGATGACTCGTGAGATTTTTTGCCAATGATCTGCTTCTCTTTCTTTTGAGTCTAGTTGTTGTTGATGATTTGCTTTGGGATAAGACCAATCAATTTCGCTACAGATGATTTGTATGATGTTCCTTTCCACGAACAGCTCACCTACTGAAAAGACTGCTGATGAGTTTGTTGCATCTGCTACTGCCGAATGCCTGCCATTTGAGACAGTATATGTACATGTGTTCATTATTTTGTTGGATGCGCTGGTGAACGAATTGTAGGTGTTCCTTTCCATTATGAAGAAGTTTTGATCTAGTTCGTCCTTTGGCTTGGCCTTTTCTTTACAAGGAGAAGAAAAAGTACAAAACAGAGGTTCGGTTTCTCGTTCAAAGTTTTTAGGTCCAAGTTTATTGCTTGAATGACAGTTACCTACACAAAAAAAAAAAATCATTTGTTACATTTTTTAAATCTTTCGTCATTTATTTATCGAAATAATAATAAATGATTACAAATAATTCAGATCCAACATTAAGAAATCTTCCGACCATCATCATAATGGAATCTTCCTTGGTCATTTCTTCAAAAGTTCTGTCGAAACGCCTTAAAATGCAACTTTACAAATTCTTCATCATCTACTCTGCTATATGCAACACCTGTATAACCATTTGTGCCGCTCACAATTTTTATATATACAATAGATGTTAAAATAAATGTTAAAATAGATGCCATCGTTTAAAAATAGATTTATTGTTGTAGCAGTGTTAAAAACAAAGACGTTTGAAAATAAAAAAAAAATATCTTGAATTCTTTATTGAAAAATTTTATTACCATTACTAATGATTATTACTAATAACAACAATAAAAATTTTATCAATTATAATTCTTAACGAATACACGTGCGCGTATCCATGAACTCACACTTTAATACTTAATAGTAACTTCTCGTTATCGTATAACGTTATCTGTACCAAAAAAAAAATAGGTCGTAAATTTTAGCCATAATTTAAAGATATTGTTTACTGTTTAAAAAAAAAAAAAAATATTCCAAATAACTTTAGTTGTGCAGCTGCAGTACATTACGTAATAACAAATGAAAAACGGTTTTCGGATCTTTGACGGGTTTTTTTATTTTTACTCAAGAATAATAATTTTGGTTGTGCAAACAATTGAAAAAAACTGTTTTTCGGATTTTGACGTATTTTTTTATTTTTACCCAATAGAAAGTAATAATTTTTTTAATAATTCCTAGCCTCAAAAATTAGCAATCGGGAAAAAAAGTAATAATAATTGTCATAAATTTAATGCATTCACCAAAAAAAAGTTATCAGTTCTATTAATGTATTTACTAAAAAAAAAATAATTAATTCTCCCCAAATCACATAATCTATTCTTAAAAAGTCTAACAAAAAAAATTAGTATATGATGACGATCAACAATCAATATTTTTTTATTCGACTATATAATGAACCATTTTTCGAAAAAAAAAAAAAATTGGGGAGCGGAAGTTCATTGCAATATCATTTGCAAATAACAGGCAAGACGCTTGCAACAAAAACCAAACAGAACTTAACACAAAAGAAATTAATTTGCAAATCGACAAAAAAATGACGGAATTTAGAAAAAGACAGTAACACGGCAAATTTTCTTTCTTTTATGTGTTAACAAGTTTTTAAACGAAAACGTGACAGCGAGCTTCGTGTCTTTTACTCACACAACGACATCACTCAAGTCAAAACAATAATAGTCTATATTATCAATTCAAAAAAATACAAATAGGACGGCCGTCCCCACATTGTTTTTCGTTTTTTTTTGTAGAGAAATTCCTCACAGGCCATTTCAGCGCACGGGAACCCAACTTTCTACGATGTCCCTGTCCATCTTCAAGAAATCAAGTTTACAGACGATGAGCACATTCAAACCATGAAATCATTTATCATTACACAACGTTATACAAGATGGTCGAAAAATAAAAATACCACTGCGCCGAGTGTTTCATAGCATCACAATAACAAAAATACACGATTCAATTGATTCAATCATTTATTACATATAACAGGAGAGACCGTTCTGATAACACAAAATTTTAACCCACGCAATTGTTGATCGACCAATCAAAATTGTTAATTTGATAACGTAAAAATAAACGTTAACATAAAACATTGATCCATTTTGTCAACAATCACTTCACCAACAGTTGTTTCGTTAACAAATGGATCGAATTTAAGAAGTTGGAAGCAACCATTTGAAATAGTCTAATAAATTAAACCGTACTACTCGAAAATGTATTTAAAGGGTTGGTTTTCGACTTGGTTGAAGAATAACTCTCTTCCTAACTCTTCTCTT